ATGTGTAATCAGACAAATTGCTTCTGATTCAAACACCTGTGGATAAGCTGACAACATCTGGTGAACGGATTTCATTTGCCTCAGAAGGTCTGTAGTTTGTACTCTCAATGGTTAAAGAACAGCATCTAATCTTTTTTTTTTCAGGCATTTTTGGCATATTTGAGTAAAAATGCAGTGGCTTACTCCCACAAAACTGGCTGCGATGAACAGAGGCGTGTAGACGAGGTTAAACTGTGACACATTCTGATAATCCCAGAGCTGAATCGTAGATGTTCCATTAAGACAGAAGCAAAAGGTGTCACCTTGTGAAAAAGGGCAAAATTCGCCTCCTTTATAATCAAATTTTCTCTGAAATTGGATTACCCACACATGACGTCAATATATGAGTAAATTGTGCCAAAGTTTCGGCATTGACATGCCCTCTGTTTATCTCCTCCACCAGCTGCTCCAAGTGATACAAACAGTAGTTTATTGTCAGCAGCTCTGGTTCAAAAAGTACAGTACTCAGTTATTTCATATCTATGTTTGTAATAACTGTAGCTTTGACTGGTTTGACAGAAACAGATAAAAGGAATCCAAGATAAATGGGGAAAAGAGACACAAAAATAACTGGAAAATATTATATTTTCTGTAAAAATGCAGGGGGCTGAATGACTCAACAACAATTTGCTGAAAAAGCTGAAACTGATGTGTTAAAATAAAAACAAGTTGAACAGAACAATAAAAAATCAGAACACAAACTAGAAGAAGCTGAACAGTGTAAAACTCAAATGAGCTCAACAGAATCAAAAAGCTTAAACCAGGAAAAAAGGCAGCCAAAAGCTAAATAAGACAGTAGTTTCAAATCAAAACCAGCTAAACAGCAGCTACAAATCTAAACTAACTAAACGGTAGTTCAGAAAAATGTGGATAATACTGTAGTGTGTGGGACTCTGAGGTATTTCTTAAATTAAAGTAATGAAACTTTTACTGAAATAAATATTTTGAAAATTCTTAAATTCAGAAAAGTCATAGCACCGTCTGCTGAGTGAGCTGAAAATTTGGTAATAATAGCGCAAAATATGAAGTTTGTTCAAAACATATGGAACAAACTATAAACAGGAAAGCCATAGTGTGAATGCTGACTCAGCGTTCAGTCAGTAAAGCTGAACCAGTGGAAATCAAAAAAGGCAAAAAAGCAAATATGGTGTTAGAAGATAGGAAACGGCAGAGAGTCTCAAAACAAAGCAATCGACTTGAGAAAAGAAAAGTTCAAACTCACAAAAAGATATATTTAGTTAAGTCTGATCACCACATCGCTGCTTTTATTTTTCACACATTCAGTTGCTGTCATGGGTTGGTGTCTGACAACCCTCTGCTAAAAACCCAAAAATGTTCCAGACACAACATGTCCTCTAAAGTTAGAATAATCAATTACATGAATGTGTAGCAAAGTTAAGAAACAAAGGAACACAACTAAAAACAGTACCAAATAATACTTGAATTGGTGGTTTAAACAAAACCCTAATAAAATAATTTCAGAAAATCCAGATGATTCTAAATTAGATGCCTTTTATGTCATTCTATCACTACACTCCTCTTAAACAATCACCCAGCCACACCTGCTACTTGTTTCACCTGTCACAGCTGCAGCCACTTCTCTAATTGAGCCCCATTCTTTCCAGTTACTTGGCTTCACTCAACAGTTGATCAGTGGGCATTATTCAGACCATGTCCAGTTTTTCCTGCACCTACTTGCGCCCATCATCACTTTTGTAAGTTCTGTTGCCACCTCTGCCTTTTTGTTTTGTTTTATAATAAAGTAGGTGGTAATTTAACTCAAGTGAGTCTGCTTTCCTCCAAACATCCTTAAAACCATGACAAGTCAAACTAAAAGTAATGCTACTTAAACTCCAGCATTGTGATACTTTGATGAGCCAGTGGGTCACTGTGAGCCTCATTTTGTTGGAAAACAGCTGAACAGAAAGTAGGATAAAGATTTTTTTTAGTGTTTAATATATTTATTGAAATATGTACATCACATAGCATAAGCAATAATAAAGGTTGCTGTATAGCACCAGATCAAAGTTTAAAACTAATTATTCCTGAATCTGCATTAAGGGTGGATTAAAGAAATTTAAGACAGATTTCAAAGTCTGATAACATTTATGTTCAGAGCCTTTCATCACACATCTGATTTTCTCCAGTTTTAAAGTGAATAACACATCTCTGATCTAAATGGTAAATGGACTGAACTTATAGAGCACTTTTCAAGTCCCTCCGGACCCCAAAGCGCTTTACACTAACAGACATTCACCCATTCACACTCACATTCACACACTGATGATGGCAAACTACATTGTAGCCACAGCTGCCCTGGGGCACACTGACAGAGGTGGGGCTGCCATACATCGGCGCCACCGGACCCTCTGACCACCATCAGTAGGCAAGGTGGGTGAAGTGTCTTGCCCAAGGACACAACGACTGAGACGGAGGATCGAACCAGCGACCTTCTGGTTCCAGGACGACTCCCCTAACCACTCCGCCACAGCCGCCCCAATAACACTAATCTAGTATTATTGTGGGTGAGGCAGCATCCCTTCGTCCCAGAAGAATCAGGCAGTGTGCCAACAAAGTTGAAAATGCAATAACCTTCTTCGCCCCAACAGGTAATCCCCAACCCCCCAGGAACAATCCTGAAAGCAGTGTGAAGGGTCAGTTTAACTGTAAATGTGGCAGAAGGGGCTTCACAAACACCTCCCAAAAATTCTTGTATTTTAGGTTATAACTAGCCTGGCCCTTGCCTTCCTATGCAGCTCCGCTCAATTCTAGTTTCCCTTCAGTGAAGGACAGGGTCTAGTTTAAACCAGAACATGTGAATCAAAGTAGCTTTTCCAAATTTACATTAATCACAAGTTGGATACACTTCTGGATAAATCTTAGCCAACTTGGGTTTGTGAAGGTGCACCTGTTGGGCAACTTTAAATTGAATGAGGGAATGTCTTGCACACATGGAGGAGGAATGGATTCTATTTAAAACTTTAGCCCATACTGCCTCACTGATTGTGAGGGGTGGGTGGCGGTTGGGTGGGAATGCAAACTGAAAATCAATCTCATCATAGCAGAAATCGCAAAAAGAAACAAGTTTGTCAAATATACTGATATCTGGTTTATCTGAGAACCCTGGGATAAAACCTGAAACACAATGCCTAATTTGTAGGTACCTAAAAGAAATGAGAAGCAGAGAGATTATATTTAAATGACAGCTGTGTAAAGGGGGCAATATTATCTTCAATAAAAAGATCCTTAAAACACGTCACCCTTTTTTGGACCACATATTAAAAGGGGCATTGTGCATCGACGGAGGAAAAAAAATTATTTGACACTATTATATTAGAAAGGCTCATATTCTGGAGGCCAAAGTATTTCCTAAATTGTGAATACATACAGATACAGATACTCCAATTGCTGATGATAGAAATAGGCCACAAGAGTATTTCTCCATTTAAACCCAAATAGGGCCTTGTTTATCAGAGTTGTAATATGCCCAAAATGACAGACACCGCAATTTAGTTGCCCAGTAATAATGTCTATGATTTGAAAGGGCCAGTTCAACATTTGTTTTGTCCTGATGCATCTCAGTAATCCAGGTAAAAAATCAAAAAGAAAAAATTGTAAAGGTCTTCTGGACGGGTTCTTCTTTAATGAAACGTTTCGTCTCTCCTCCAAGAGACTTCTTCAGTCTGAGAGTTTCAGGCAAAATTCAGGCTTTTAAGCCCTGCCTCCATGTGACTGATATTCACATCACATGGCTATCGTTCACACCTAATTAACACTTATTGTTAACAGGGGGTGGAGTGATACTTGCAATAGCCGCACTGTAGGAGGGGGACAACTGAAAACGGAGACCTCCACCTCTGTTTTATGATGGACGGTCTTTCTTCACAAAAATGGCTTCTTTTACTCCTCTCTCAAACCAACGTTCCTCTCTATCAAGAATGAGAACATCCTCATCTCTGAAAGAGTGACCGCTGGCCTGTAAATGAGCTGGCCAGCGGTCACTCTTTCAGAGGTGAGGATGTTCTCATTGAAAGCAAATGTGTCACAGTTGTAGTAAATGCAGACTGACAGGAGCTTGGGAAAAAAAGAGCTAAACTTTATTTTAGCCCAAAAACAAAGATTTTCATGGCAGCAAAAGCTCATGAAACCAGAGCTGATCCAGGTAGGCACACAGACTATGTAACTGTTTCCTAAGCAGAAGCACAAGAATAAAACAAAAAAAGACATCAGAAAGTGTTTTACTTCTAAATACACACTAGTCTTTGCTATGTCACTGTATAAATGTGGTTGTATTTGGAATTTAATAAGTCTTTTTCATACAAAGACCTCAAATGAGACATAAACTCACATTTACTGAATAAAAAGTAAAAACTGACTGACATGTTTCACACTTTAACACAAAGTCTCACTCAGAATGCAACCCCCCCCCCAAAAAGCTAATCTTTGCCTTTTTACTTTAAGTCTTCTTATGATTTAAAATGCAACTTGTCTTTATCATGCACAAAAAATTTGTTTCACACACAACAAAATTGTAATTTTCTTAAAAACTGGCTGCACTTCAGACATTTTGTACAACTTCATTTGAATATGACCAAAATGACAACTTGATCAAAACCAAGATAGTTAAAAATAATTATGAATTTGCAGTGGAATAGCAGGAAATCTGAGAAACTGACACGCAGTTTGAGCAGATGAAGGTTTATGTGTGATACTTTAAAGCCAGCTGAATGTGTTATAGAGCAAATTTATTCTAAATTTCCTCCCCATCAGCTAGAAATGAGACTAAAAGTGTTCGTAAGTCTTGCTTATTATTTATTTAAGGAGCAAATCTCGGCTTTCTGTCTTGGTGTTTCTATCTGACACGTGTGAGCACTTTCAGCACCAACAAAGCCAGAACCCGATGCGGCCGGGTCTGCAAACGGACACACTCTCATCACTTTGGGGCAGGTTTCGTCACTCACCCTGGCTGTTGGGTCCCCCTTCTCCCTCCTCACAGTCAGTCATGCTGTTCAGCATCACCTCTCCTCAACAGGCAGTGTGTGAGCTGAGATGAGGAAAAAAAAAAACTCAGAGTGGGTCGGAGATAGTTTTGCGTCTCTCAGGAAGTATTTTTCCCTGCTGCTGTAAAATCAGATTATTAAAAAAAATAGAAAAAAACTGTGTTTTGGATGCTTCTTTACTTGTCTGTTCTGATTTCTTTCTCTCAGCAACAGGAGCTCAGACAGACTGAGAGCTGCTGCTGGCTTTGGGAGGATGCTGGTGCTCTGTGTCACTCACATGCACGCTCTCTGTTTCACTCCCCCCCCCAGTCAGTTTAAGCCATAGTGACTGCACTCATCATGTATGCAGAAGGTATTATCCACCCCCTCCTATTCCTGCACGCTGACCATCATCCATCTCCTGATGAGGGACGGGAGGAGAGGGATTGAGAGTCTGAGGGGAGGTACGTCAGATGACAAAGAACTGCCTCCTGAGATTATGCCTCTCCTTTGATGTGCTTTTCAGACAGAAGAGGAGATTCCACTTCATTATTACGTATTCATCCTTCTTTTGTTAAATTCCCCCCTGTGCTACATTTCTCTTTCATACTTTTCTGTGCAGTCACGGCCTGTTAGAGCCAGAGGCTGCACTTTATAACTCTGTACTTATAACTCACTGTTGCCCCACACACTGACTGAACTGTCTGCAGGGCTGCAGGCTCCTGGTGTGGGTGGGAGACAACTTTTCAAGTTTAGATATTTATTCAAAAGCCCTAATGACAAAAAATAAATAAATAAATAAAAAGCAGCAAGTACTGTCAGTACATTTAGAGGCGGTACATTTGTGATTAGCAGTGGCTTTTAAGACATTTGCATTGCTGTGCCTCTGAGGTCACTGAAACAACATGAAGCTTCAATAAATTGCCAACTGTGAAAGATGCAGTATCAGACAGGTAATAAGGAACAGTAATAAAAAGCAAGAAATGAGAAAAAGGGAGCAGGATAGGTTAGAGCTGTTTGGATATAATGGTAAGAATATTAAGGAAAACTCAAAGAAACAGAGGCGGAAACACAGACGGGATTCCATGCAACCTTCAGGTGAAAATGAAGACCCCAAACCCAGACCCAAACCAGTGGTTATTCCGTATGTTGCGGGTGTTTCGGAGTTCTAAACATGATGTCCCAGTAGCTTTCAAACCCCAAAACACATTACGGCAAAGACTGGTTCACCCCAAAGA